CTCACGAATCTCCTAAGTGATCTAGACCCAGTCAAGCTGATAATGTAGGTTAACTATCATAGGTCACCCCTTTCCAGCTTAACACCCAAACACAACACTCAAAGGCATATTTTACTTCGAGCCCCCAAAAGGGTCCTAATGTCTCCTAATAAAAATTGTATATTCGGCGTAAGTACCAGCAATCTTGAGGGTTTTAATACGATTCAAAATTCTCATTTTGGATCCCCTTTGAGACTTTACTCAAGCTGTTGGAGTCAAAGCCTTTGGAAAAAAAACATCAAGTAACAATCAACATGATTCTAATAACCAAAGGCACAGAGTCGACAGTAGACATTCCATCCAAAAAGAAGGGCATAGGAAGGAGGGCCATACCTCACTTGCCACGTGTCCCAAATGCCCATCATGGATGGGAAGCCTCAAGTCATGGGGGCTACATCTGGCACACATGACATGTGGCACTGTCATGTAAATTCCAAGTGACTTAGCTTGTTCTTCCTATGAGATCTAGCTCTATTCGTTTCACAGAGATGTCTACAGCACATGGTCTGCATTCTTGGACTTGAGATATCTTGAGGTTTCCATCACACCTTAGGCTTCCACTTGATAGCTTGACACACTGACTCCCTGTGCGGGTCTGATGCTCTCATTTACTGCCCAGGATTTTCAGGCACTCCATAAATCTTCATGGATGAACCCATGACTCCAAAACATTTGTATTATCAGTACCTACAAAATCATCACCATGCATAATGCCAAGGTCTACTACCAGCTCAAACAGTAGCTGGATTTCCTTGGACCACAGCCACAGCAGGCTCTGAGTGCCTGGGAAAACAAACCTTGGAAAACACTTCCCTGGGCATCTCTTTAGGAGCAAAGTGCTTGTCACCAGGGAAGGTATTTTAAAGATGTTAGTATTTCATATTCTGAAGCAAGTGATGGGTGGGGTGTGGCACATTTCCTACTGACCTGATGTGAAGCACTTTGCTTCTCTGTAATGGTTTTTAATCTCTTCTTGGTCCACACTTTTCTTCCTTGTCAAAAATCTGTTTATTTAAATCCTCAGACTTAATTAGGAGCTTTTGACTCCTAATTCTCAAGAGTGAATATGGTTCCAAGTGACCACCAATGACCATTCCAGAGCCCAAATGCTAAGCTGCTCTGAAACTTTTTCCTGCCAAAATACCTTGCCTTACGACACCGAATCCAGCCTTCCAAAAAGTTTCAAGGCAATGATACATTGCAGACAAATTATTTTCTGTAATATATCGTGAATGGCCTCCAGTCCAGTTTGGAGCAGATTACAGAGGCCAGTTCTAGAAGCCTACGGAGGACAGAGGACATGACATGATCAGGTTCAGTCAAGGAAACAGTGCTGCTTCTCTGTTGACAGTTCATTAGATCAGTTGTTTTTACTGTTGCTGTGACCCCCCAATACCTGATTCTAGCAAGTTAAGAAAGGAATTACGTACTTTAGCTCATGATTCCAGAGAGGTCAGGCCAGGGAACTTGCTTCTGTGTGCTTGGACTGAATATCACACACAGCAGAAGGAACATGAGGCAGCTATGGGGTTCACAGATGACCAAGGTTGACAGGGATCATCAACTTTTATCATTTATTGATTGGTCAGTTAGTCGGTTGTTTGTTTGTTTGGTTGGTTGGTTGGTTGGTTAGTTGGTTGGTTAGTTGGTTGGTTGTCATCTCCTAAGCATGTTTTACCAGAGTAAGATCTCATCAAGTCTTCACCAGGAAGTAGTCTACTTAAGACACTTAGGTGAAATAAGATAAGAGGAGCTCTGAGGGTTAGCTAGAGGTAGTGAAAACTTTAAATATGTTTCATAGTTGTTTGACTATTCTCTACTGGTTAGTCTTCACTGCTGACTTATTATAGTCGAGAACTGTCTGGAAAGAATGAACCTCAATTGAAGACTTGCCCAGATCAGACTGACCCGTGGTCTTGTCTGCGCAGAATTGTCTTGGTAGATGGTTGATATGGGAGAGCCCAGCCCACTGTGGGTGGCACCATCCCCCAGCAGGTGGTTTTGAGATGTGTAAGTCAGAAGAAAGCAGACACCAGAGAGAAAGCCAGCGAGTCCTTCCGTATTCTTTGCTTCAGTCCCTGTCCTGATTCACCTCAGCGATGGGCTGTAAACTAGCAATGTAAACCAAATGAACACTTCCCTCCCTTACCTTGCTTTGTTCAGAGAGGTTTTTTTTTTTATCATAGCAACAGAATGCAAACTAGGATTTTTTTTTTTTTTGATAAAAACTAAAAAGATGAGTAAGGGAAATGACGTACTGATTAAATAGCTTTGTATTCTCTTTTTTATATCAAACAGGCTTGCGTTATTTCAAAGGCTTGCTACAGTGTGCTGAAGAAATTCGAGCTCCAGAATTCTGGATCCTCTCACTACCTTTAAAGGATGATTGTGAACGTTTTGGCCCCATCCTGTAAAGGATTTTGGTAGTATCAATTGCTCAATTGAAACCATCGGGAATGACAGTGTTTGAATGCCTAAGACACTATGAATCTCATTTGTGCCACTGTTTCTTCTATTGTTGAAGAAGCTGACTGATGTTTAACGGGACCCAGAGAGAATAGACTCATAAAGAGTGATGTGGAAATGTTTAGCCTTTATAAAAGGAAATCTTGATGTCTCGGGATGTTTTTGGTCACTTAGTGCTCTGCAAAACCATCGGTGTTCATCAAATTACCCTCTTCCTGTGTCCCTTCATGTTTCTCTGGGGTTTCAAAGCATACCCTTTCTTCAACAGGCAACCTATACTCGAATTAGAAAACTTCTGAAAATACCCCTCGCCACAGGTGTGGAGACTGGGGAGCTTTCATTACAGCCAGGGTCTAGCTCAGTGATCAACCATCATTGGTTGATCAGAACCATCCCACGTTTAATAAGTGTGCCAAAAGTCAGAGAACACTACAAAATTATATAAATGACTGTAAACTCCAAGGTCAATATTCTCCTTACTTGTTCAGTACGAAAGCAACAATGTAAAGTCGAGATGTGGCAAGCTGCAGGCTTCACTTAGAGGCCTGTGAGTTCAAGAGAGGCCTGAGCAGGAAGCCTTAGGTGAACCAGCCTGGTGTGGTATCTTCCTCACTGGTCTGTCTCTCCCCAAAAAAAACGTGGGATGCTAATGTCAGCCTACACTTCCGCAAGTTAAAGAAACCTTTGGGCTAATGGGTTTTCAACACCATTATATATGGAGGCTGGGGAGGGGGGAGAACATTCTGCACCATAAAATTAAATGACTGCCTCCAAACTCACTTCTCTATAAATTATAACGTTGAATGCGTTAAGGTAACATTTGGAATTTCGTGTTTCCTGAGGTACCACACCCGTCAGTGACTCCATCTTGAGGGCAGTGTTCCATCTACGTCTGGGGTCCAAAGTTAGAAATAAAGCTGTAAAATTGCCAAAGGGAGGGCAAAAAAGGAGGGCAGCTAAATCCGTCCCATCGTCGGAGGAAACCACAAACCACTCTTAGGAGAAATAAATGTGTTTGCCGTTTAGCAAGCACTAAGTTGCAGGAATGTGAGCCATTCCAACTTCACAGAAGGTGGCTCGCTGCATTCCGTTTCTTTGGAGTTAAGATCAAAAGGGGAAAAAAAACCCAGAAGAAAATATTAAACCCTTTAATGAGTTTGGAAGTTGGTGATTCATATTAAGTCTAGCAATAACTATGAATTGACTGTATTTTCACTAATTGGACACGTTCTAAAATCCTCTTAAAATGAGGTTAAAAGTCATAGCAATGTTGTTGAGTTCATACTTTGTGCTGAGAAGTCAGCCGGTCCCTCGAAGAGTAAAAATCCCGAGGAAAAGAGACATTACAACCTGCTTAAAGAGATGGAGTGTATGTGAACTAGAGAGGACTCTTGAATACAGGTGGGCTATATACCAGGATTGGGGTCTTTTAAAGTATGAAAACACTTGCGGGCGAGACATGGTTATAAAGCTAAGTAAAGCAACATGTTACATTTCCTCTGAACACCAACGGGAAAGAAGCATACTGATTGGGTAAACCCTTAGCTTTGCCCAGCATGAATCCAAGCAGGAACAGTTTAATGCAAACACCGGCACTGTGAACACTAGGAGGTGCCAAGATTCCCTGAACATTTCTAATGCAATAATCTGTCCAATCTCTTTGAAAAGCTTTGAGGCCATTAGTGGGTGTGATTTTACTTTATGCGTGGGGGAAGTGACCCGGGAGTGTCTGGATTTGACAGTAAACCTCCTTAGTAACCACCTTCAAGCAGGTAAATGTAGGGCAAATCCCATAGCCAAAGGAAACATTAGGTAACCAAAAGAGGCAAATATGTAGGGTCGGGCTTGTAAGCTCAGCGGTTAGGGTGTTTACGCAGCACTCCGGAGACCCTCGATTGAATCTGTGCATGCATAAAGGGGGTACGGTGTCCTTGGTTGTAAGCTCTTGGGAGGTGGCGGTAGGAAGGTCAGAAATTCAAGGTCATCTGTAGCCTCCGCTACATTCATGGTGTGTATGGAGGCTCTTCATTCTCCCAATATAATACCCTGTTGTTTCCAGGCTTTTTATTATGGAAATTTCAAACACTTGCGAGAGGAGACAGTGTACTAACCCCACCTCTTCCGCAATTTTAAATCACAAGTCCATCCATCCATCCGCCTCCCCCGGTTTTTTTGGAGTAAGTTGCGGATTGTCACTTCCATCGCTAGCTAAATATGCGCCTCTAAAATTAGAGTCAGTTTTTCCTACTAAAGACCACAATGCCATGATCAGACTTTTTAAACGTTACAAAAAAATTGCTGAAGATCAACCATCAAGAGCCAAAGCCCCAAATCGCTTATTATCTTCCCTTTAGAGCAAGCCTTCTGTGTCAACACCAGAACTGCTACTTAAGTAAAATTCTCAGTTTCCACTGTAATTCGAGCAGCAGGTGGCCCCACGGGTCTCGTGAGTGGGCGGGGCCTGAGCTCCGGTTAGGCGTCGCTGCCTCCCACACTGGTTGCCTTGACGATGAAGGCTGCTTCCTCTAGAGAAAACGTGGCAGGGTCCGCCACAGTATTGACCTCCTGGGGGATGACCACCCCCGGGGGGGTGACGCCAGCAGGCAGCACGACTGACTCTGAGGTATGAGCCCCTTTCCAGGCAGTCCAGGGCTGGGTCCTCCGCTAATACCAAGGTCACTCAAGGTCAAGGCCAGAGTCACGGGGGACTCAACCTGTAATGGCCTGCAAGCTGCTCCTTTGGGCAGGGGTCCCTAGGACCCCTGAAGCTCATTACAAACCCTGTGAGCTTACTCTGGAAAGTTCCATGCTCACACAGCCTCACAAATATGCAAATCTTCAACTGGAGGGAAAAAAAAAAGAAGCAATCCCTGATCTTAAAGGGGACCAGTCGCTTTTTGTAAATGCCACCGATTGTGAAGATCAACAACTGATGAAAAGGTGTTAAAGACTGCCCGCTATCTGAGTGAGTCAGGCTTAGTTTCTATTGTCACCTGGCCCTGTCCTAGGAGACCAAACACCCTGATCTGAGAGTCTGTTCTCTGCCTCTGGCCTCCTGGCTCGTAGTAAATTTGTTTCTGGTACTCCAGGGACCTCTTGGATAGCACAAGGTCACCTTAAGACCCCCTCCTAGCACTAACTATTAATGGGTGGGGGACATTAAGTCATTTTGCCCCTAGACTTAATGCTTGAAAGTTTATTATTATTGTACTTTTATTTATTTGTGGGTGGGTGGACTAAAGTCGCAGTACCGGTGCTTCTGCAGAAGGTGCCACACTCCTTGCTAGGATTTTAACCACAAGTGCATCAGCTAAGGCATCTATTTAAAAAAAAAAAAAATGTTTAAATCTCGCTGAGTCTACCAAGTACTGTTTCTAGGATGTTATTTTTTTTCCCCTTCCTTTTTTAAAGACTGAAGAGTGAATAATGAAGTGTTAATTAACACGGCTTTGTTCAGCCTCCGTATTAGTCTAAACAACAACAGTCTTTGTGAAGAAGATAAGTATTCGCTGCAGACTCAGCAGTCAGGAAGCACAAAGCCAATAATTTCATGCCTTCCTCTCCAACAAGGGAGCAAGCCAGTCCCACTCCACCCCCTCCAGGTCCCCCAGTACTGCAGGCAGACCGCTAAGCCTGCAGGCTCTCCCATGAGCCTTTCTAAATAAAATTAGCATACATTAAATGCACATTTTAACATGATAAACTGGATTCTAAGCTCATTCCTCCCTTGTGATCCCTAATGTAAGTTAACATAATTTTTAAACCAGCATAGGAAACTTTCCAATTAAATCCTGCATCGTTTAAACATACACAAAATCTTCTATGACTATATGTCTCACATGCTAACTTACCAGTGGATGTAATGCCCTTTCTAAGAACATTTAGTGATTTGAGGCTTAATGAATCAGTACAAGAGGAAGAGGGGGGGGGAGAGCTTAATAAAAAAGACTGAGCCATATACATAACATGTACACATACATAAATCTATATTTCAATTGTTATTAGCTCAGTCTTTTTATTAGTAAGAAACTGAAGAAATCCAGTTGTTCCGGGGGCTTCCTTGGTACTACCCCTTCACCAAGAATGGCAGTTAATATTCAGAGGTGCGTTCTCCATTTTCCAGCCCTGAAAAACCGAGTCTTTCTAAAACACAGCAAGATGGTCCACCATCAAGACTGCCCTTCTGGGCTGTCTAGGGTCTTTGAGGTTGGCAGGAAAACATGACAAAAGACCCTTGTAGGCCAGTGCTACTCCTTGCAGAGCTCATCCCCTTAATAGGGATCTACTTAATAAGGATCTACTTAGTAGGGATCTTTTCTGGTAAATTCTGTATCTAAATTGATTCAACCAGAAGGCCATCTAGTCACCTGAGGCATGCAAGAATGAACTATTTATTTTCCGGCCAAGTCTATCAGAAATAAAGCACACATTTCACTCACTGTGCTTCTGCATGTGTTGGTGATGGGCAACATCGAGAATAAAAAAAATGGTTGCCCTATTCACATAGTTGGTCTTCAAGCAATTATGTTAGCACATTGATATCACAGGCAGTCTGCCGTGTGCCATACCAGGCGGTTCACCAGAAACTGGGGTCTATGCTGTGATACCCCTGAGCAGAGGGCATGGGACGCGGAACTAGGAAAGGAAATTGTATGGGAAATCCCATGAGCTCGGCTTGCTAGTATCTGAACTATGAAGTCCAGTTTCTTCAATAATATTGAACAAAAATACCTAAGCTTTCAGCCTTTATTTGTATGAATGTGCAAGGACAAAAGGAAAAATTAACAAAAATTGAAACTAAAAGATAGCTATTATAGACCGATGTAAAAATAACTTATATATAAATATCCAGTTCAAATTCTGCAGCCTCCTGGCCAGTTAGTTCATAAATAGTATCCTCAAAAAAAAACGCTAATTCTTAAAAGAGATGTGGCTTAGCTCACATGAGAGAATTACAGGGAGTGAAACTGTTTCTGTCCTGATCGCTGCTGCTGACTGTGAGTCACAGCATGTCCCCAAGAGGGGATGCGAACCTGGTCCCTCTGGTAAAGCACTGGAATGCAGACATTGTCTTACGGGAAAAGATGCTGAAGTTTGTCTTAGAGATTGTCGGTATGTCTGGTGGGAATCTGTAGGCAGATTTATCTACCATCTGATGGTCCTCCAAAATGTTAGAGGTAGTCCTCCCAAACACCCTGTTGGGCTCCACGTGAATAGCAAACCTTCGAGTTTCTGCATTGTCAATATCATCCAAGAAACTTTCTTATGATTGAAGTATGATGCTTCCATGTGGGTGAACTGTTGTACGATACAGGTCAACCTGGGCAGACTGTGTGATAGTGGGAAAAAAATGTAACATAAATAGACCTCAAATGTCACCATCTGTATTAGTGTGCGGATGCAGGGACACAGCCTGACTCGTTTCTTCTTGTACTTAGAGCTACAGACCTTTAAGCCATCCTGTTCTCCTTCTGCCCTCCTCTCAGGTGAGCCCAACTCATTTTCAGTCTTCTGATATTAAGAGATTTAGGCTCTAAGAGCAAGTCTTTAAGAAGTCCAAATTCTTACATACCGGTGGGGGAGGCTCTTGCATATGCCAAGGGGCACATGCGGAGGTCAGAGGGCAACACAGGGGTGTCAGTACCCTCCTTCAACTGTGAGCACCAAGGTTCAAAGTTATCAGGCTTGAGTTACAAGCAACTGACCCACTGAGCCATCTCACAGGCCCAATATATATTCAATAATATATAATGATATTATTATATTATATAAATGTTATATATTATATATAATTATATGTATGTGTATGTATACGTATTGTATATGTATGTATATACTTTTGTGTATATATATATATATATATATATATATATATATATATATATATGTGTGTGTGTGTAATTTGAAATGAGTATTCTTCCTGCTGTCTCCTCTTATCACACACAGAACAGGTAGGGATAATATGAGTGGACTGTCCACTGAAGCAGGATACTGGTTTTCTATGTATGGGCAAAATTATACATTTTAGATTGCTGTTCTCTTCCACTAACTAGACTCTGTGTGTGTGTGTGTGTGTGTGTGTGTGTGTGTGTGTGTGTGTGTGTATGTGTGTGTTTATGTGTATGTATGTGGAAGCCAAGGGGTCCACATCGTATGTCCTCTTCAAGTCACTTAATTTGTGAGACAGGGCCTCTTCTTACTGGGATGTGAACCTCACCAATTCCCCAAGACCTGTGGTTCTCAACCTTCCTAAAGCTGTGACTCTTTAAGACAGTTCCTGGTGTTGTGGTAACCTCCAACCATAAAGTTATTTTCATTGCTACTTCCTAAGTGTAATTTCACTACTGTTATGAATCATAATGTAAACATCCCCGGAGACAGAGCATTGGGACAGGGGTCGCTACTCACAGGCTGAGAACTGCTGCTTTAGACTCTCTGGCTATGGCGTTCCAGGGATCTGCCTGTCTCAGCCGATGCGGTACTGGGATTATTAATGCCCACTCCCTGGTTTTTCATGTGAGTTCCAGGGATCTGAACTCAGGCTCTGGTGATTTCATAGCAGGCAGTGTACCCGCTGAGCCATCCTCCCCAGACTGAGAAGTCCATCCATTCTTTATCATGGTTACACCATTTATATATTGAACTTTTGCATCTAGTTCGGGAAGGCCCTGCCCACCATCTCAACTCCTTCCAAGTGTCTGTATTCCCTCCTAAGAATTTAAAAGTTATCTTGTAAAGTTCTGGGAGACTCCCCCTGGAGTTCAGCATTGTCTTTGCTTTACATTTATGATGTGCGAGGAATTTATCCCTTGAGTCTTGAAGGAGTTTCTGCTACGTATCTTTTATCAATTCTTATCCCTCAAGTTCTGACCGAGTCTTAGAATTTTGCTACAACTCTTATGCCTTTATTATCCTCAGAACAAAGCACAATTCAATAACTTTGGACATTTCCATTTCTAATTAGCTCCTCAAATGGAGAAAAGAAACCGGCTTTGTGTATTTACGTTATGTATAACCGTCTTACCCCGTTTCCTAGCTGAGCGTTAATACAGTGTCAGCCTTCTTAAGGACACTATGATGTCATCTTCAAATAAAGGCCCTTTTGTTCCTTTGTGTCTAATGCTTAAGCCGAGTGTTTCATTTTCTTATCTTCTTACCATAATGGAGAAGAATGAGTCTAATGTTGAATTACAGGAAAGTTGCTCGTCTGGATCCCATTTCCAGCTCTTGGTTTGACAGTGCTGACTATTTGTCCCCGTGTTCTCTATGATGGTGGCTGTTAGTTTTGGCAAATAGTCTCTGGCCTGGCTCTGTTTTCTTTCTCCATTTAATTTTACCAAGTGCTTTGCTGCTGAGTCTAGAAGGTACCTGGTCAGCATTTATGTAACAGTCACAGAATCGATGTCGAATGTGACCTAAACGTGATGTTCCCTGTCATGGGTTCTGTCTGGGAGATGGTCCATCAGCGTGCTTTAGCACAGTGGGATCCACGCTTCCGAGATCCATCTTTCACTAGTTCTTGAACTAGACAGTTCTGGTTTGTTAGAGATTTGGATTTCTCTATTCTCTTTATTCTTCTTTGGGCTCTTCCTTGTAGATGGGCAGCTTTTAAAAAACTGAACTCTTAAAAGCCGAAAATTCTTAACCTAGGTTTTGATTGACCTGGGTTTTGACCAAGTATAATACCAGATGGGCATGTACCAGATGACTTTACAAAAGGTAGACTCCAGTTTGGGGTCCCGTTTGGTCAGATACATTTTCTCCTCTATCCTCACTAAATATTTTTTTCCATTAATTTCTGTATTTGTTCACTTTACACTTCATCCGCAGCCCCCCCCCTTCTCCCAGGCCCCCACCATGTCACACAGCCCATCCCTCACTCCCTTCACCTCTGAGAAAGGGAGGTTCCCCCCTGGATACTAACCCACCACGGCACTTCAAGTCACTGCAGGACTAAGCACATCCTCTCCCACTGAAGCCAGACAAGGCAGCCCAGTCAGGGGAACAGGATTGACAGGTAGGCAGCAGAGTCAGGGTAAGCCCCCCACTCCAGTTGTTGGGGGACTCACATAAAGACCAAGCTGACATCTGGTACATATATGCACGGGACCTAGGTCCAGCCCATGTATGTTCTTTGGTTGGTGGTTCAGTCTCTAGGAGCCTACAAGTGTCCCTACTAAGTTTTGACAATTTATATTTTTCTAGGAAATCTCCCACCTCCTTATTTTTTTTTAATGTTTTGCCACCTGCTGTGGCAGACACTCACTGAATCACACTTACCAGAGAGCTGACTTTTTACCTATATTTTTAAATAGCTAACTCTTCATTTTATTTGTCTTTCTTTCCTTTACTTAGTTACGCTCTTTTACAAACAACTGGTTCCCTAGCCTTGTGAGAAGGTCACGTTGAGGTAGGTTAGGCCCAACCAAGCTCAGCATCTAAGAGGTACCAGCCAGTACCTTAGCGACGCAGACAGGTGATGCCTCTGTGGACCACACTGGCAGAACCCAAGTGGGTGCAGGATATGCTGGAATGGATCAAATGTTCAAATAAAGACAGCAACAATATTCCTGACTTTCCTTTTGCCTAAGACTTCTTTAGGGTTTAACACAACGCTGCTCCTCAGTTCAAAATCCAGCATCTGTAGACAAGCTCACGTTCCTTCTGACTGGGAAAGCCCTCTTTCCTCATCCAACAGATCTGTTGTCTCTCCTTTAATGAGGCTCTTTAGAGACTCTCCCATATGAAGCACCATCAACAATGGGTGCAGAGTTACAAATGTGGGGTGTTTAAGTGACACCAAGGAGAACCCAGACACAAGGTTGTCTGGTAAGTAACTGAAGGCTTAACATGTTGACATTGGAAAGGACGCTAAGATCCACCAGGCGGTGGGAAGATGTGAGTTAGCAGTGCGGTGTAGCCGCAGAGCTCCCAAGCTGGAGACACAGGGAACAAAGAACCAGAGATAGGCAGGCAAGTGTAGCCTGTTTATGAACTGCTGGTCTATCTTCCGGCTGGCTATACAGATTGGAATGTATGCCCTGAAAGATCAAAGGTTTTCAATCACCTAATACTCTTTCTAGTGCAAAGCAGCAAAATTTTTTTACAATATATATTACATGTATGTGTATATATATGTATATACAATAGAACACATATGAACATGTATATGATTATGTATATAAGAAGAAAGGAGGAGAGGAGGCCTCATTTAAAGTAGGTCCAGAAATACAGGCATTTGTATAAATGGTGCTATTACTAACACTAAAACTAATTAGAGAGGCAAACTCTGCTGAAAGATGATCTCTTAAACCCACACATTTTAGGAAAAACAGTGGCTCTGGTATCGGGCATCATTGCTTCAGCTCTGACTGTCTAAGATTCGCTTTATACTTCTATAACTTTATATCTGTATAAACCTTATACAGCTCTATGTGACTCAATTTTTTTTTCTATTCTGAATTTTTCTAGCCAAGTAGCCAAGTAAATGGATGTGCATGTCTGTCTTTAATTTTCTGGGTCTCTTCTCTTCTCTTCTCTTCTCTTCTCTTCTCTTCTCTTCTCTTCTCTTCTCTTCTCTCTCTTTCTCTCCCTCTCTCCCTCTCTCTCTCTCTCTCTTGCTCTCTCGCTCTCTTGCTCTCCCACTCTCTTTCTCTCTCTCTCTCTCTCTCTGACTCATCACGGCAGTCCCATGAGTACCCAAACACAGAAAATGATTTTTACAAAAAAAAAATTATTAATCTAAATTTAAGATCAAATGAGTTGGCTCGGGTCATAAAATTAATCAGCAACCAAACCATCACCTCGACAGCAGTTCTTCTAAATCCCCAGTTCCGCAACTCTCTCCCAGCCGAGCGCACCATCATGGAATGGAGATGAAACTCAACGGTCCCTCCGTAACCCATGCTGACTCAGCAGGGCTTGCAAAATTCCAAACAGAAGGGAACATAGGAGGAGCGTGTAAAATAATTACCAGTATAAGAACGAGTAGTCTTTAGTCCTAATAAACGATGTGTATGGGCAAAACACATTTAAGCAAACGTAACACCATGTGTCTGACTGAAATACTATCCTCCACCCCACACCCAATCGATTTCATTGGGCTTCGAAGTATCTGAGAGCCCAGCAGGTGCAAAATATATCACAGCAGGTGTGAAAATATCAGATTCAAACAATCATATGACCTAGATAGGTTTAATTTATTCATATGTAATAGCGCAGCCTCAGTGTAACAATCTAATATTAAGCTATAGCAATGGTGTTAGCTTTGGGAGTCTCCATTGGGAAGCAATCGTGCCGATGCTGTAGTTCAGTGGGTAAGGTGCTTGCGTAATGGGTAGGAAAGCCTCCAGCACCAGATGAGCTAGCTATGACCGTACTCTCTTGGAATCCCAGCATCGCTGGGAGACAGAAACCAGAGGATCAGGGGTTCAAAGTGACCTTCTGCTTTACAGCGAGCTCCAGGAGATCTTGAGAGACGTGTGGGGGAGTTGGGGGTGGGGGTGGGGGAAGGGACACATGATAATTGCAGAGTAGCCTGGTTATTAGCTACAGTGAGCATCTCCTCATTCTTACATATCGGATGCCATCATGTAAACAGTTCAGTCCCCGTTTGGTGGATGACATTCACCTCTGCTCCCTAGATTCCCAGCAAGCTTCGATCTGTGTGCAACTGCCATCCTCTGGCTGGATCTCGGGCTCCTCTTCCGTCTTGATTCGCAACCCTTCTTTTCCTACTGTGACCTGGGACAGCCTTGTCAGTTAACCGACATCTTTAAACTTGACCTTCTTGACCCCCGCCATCTCTAATTAGTTTCTAAATATTTGTACCTCGCTCTGCGCAACCCACCGCATCTCTTCTTCGAAAGGTCCCGAACCACCTGCTTTGGAGACTCCAGCTCTGCATCAAAACTGTGTTTTAAGACTCTTGTTTCCTTTAATCCCTTCCCCCACACTTCCTGTCATCACTCATTTCGTCTGCCTCAGATTCCAATCTTGTCCGACTATTTCCCTACTCAGAAATCCCTTGACTCTCCATCTTCTGTATTGGTGAGAGAAAAGCCGACGGCTCACCATTCCGCCGACGGCTCACCATTCCGCCACTGGCCCGTGTCTGAAAGGTCTATGATCCCACATATAGCTGTTGTAGTTTGTAAGCATTTAGAAGGTATATACTGTCAACTTAAACTCGGGCCCTCCCACAATATCCCGCAGTGCGCTCGGCCCACCTGACGACATCGCTTCCTGGTGCCTGTCCTGCACACCCCTGGGAATCTTTAGGGTAGGGTCCTGGTATTTAGGTCCTGAAGGGACCCTCTTTTCTGTGAAGTTCAGCCATGTTCCTGTCCTCGTCTTTGCGTAGAGGCTGAACGTCTCACTTAGTCCAGCTCATGTTCATTTTTCTTTGAAATATTCCTTCCAGCTGTTTGAGAATTGAATCCACGCTGGCGATGCGTTCTGACGAACTCCACCCCGACCCCTGTCCCCATCATGCTTGGCTCGTGGTTTGCTCATCAGTGGTTCCTTTTCCTGACTCGACACTGAACTCCTTGGAGTGAGCGAGCCTCTCCTCACTTCCCCTCTCTTGAGCCTTCATTCAGTTCAACCGGGAATAAGTAGAATGCATATAAGCAACATGTAGGAATAGACAGTCAGTGTTTGCTGAATTGTAATGCAGCCTCAGATCTGCATATACCTTTGGATAGGCTGTCTAGCCATCTAACCATGTGACTTTTCAGGGGTGAGCCACTAACACACGAGAACAGGAAAGAAAAACAAAAGTCAAAGATTTTTTTATATCATTGGGGTCAGTATGCAAAACATATGATTCAGATAAACTCGTTCTTCTTTGATTTGCTTTAATAGAAAAATATTGAATTCCAGGAGAATGAAAGGATTCTGTCTCCAGATATACTCTCCTCTGACCAGATCATTGACCTGCTAGGAGAAGAGGACGAAAATGGAATCCAAGAGTAAGTTACTCCAGAGTCTCAGTCAAGTACAGACCAGTTCTAGTCCTTCATTGCTAAGTGACCACGGTGCGTTATTTATACATATTAAGCTTTTAATTCAAACTATGTGCTATTACAGTATGTACTAAAATATGTCAAGTCTTTGGAACGTGCACGCGCGCACACACACACACACACACACACACACACACACACACATGCACGCAAGACTAATTGACTCTGTGCAGCTCAGGAGCCTTTGCTGGTGATTAACATGCATTGGAAACCTAAATATTTATATTGACCAAGGGCCACCTGTATCTACGCGGTGCCTGCGCGTCTCTTGTATGCACGAAACTGTCAATATGTCCAATAATCTAAAGGACACCCTTTTCTAACATTAACGATATCAGTATAATATAGTAAATACGTCACTAGCATTGTTAAGTAGGTTATTGTCTTAATTTGAGCTACTGTTGCTGTGATCAAACATTGCAACCAAAGCAACTTGGGAGGAAGTGGTTTGTTTATTCAGCTCATACTTCATACTTACCGTTCATCATTCAAGTTAAGTCAGGACAGAAACTCAAACAGGGCAGGAACCTGGAGTGAGAGCTGACGCAGCAGACTTGGGGAGGGGCTGCTGACTGGCTTCCACCTTATGACTTGCTCAGCTTGCTTTCTTATAAACCCCAAGGCCATCAGTCCCTCCCCCGGTGGCCCCACCCACAATGGGCTTGGCCCTCCCCCGTTGATCATTAATTAAGACTATTCCCTATTGGCTTGACTGCAGCCTGATCTTATGGAGGCATTTTCTTCCTTGAAGTTCCCTCCTCTCAGATGACTCTAGCTCGTGTCAAGTTGACGTCAAACTAGCCAGCACAGTTGGGATTTTGAAAATTCTGCACACTAGCCATTTACCAATGATATTTATCAAAAAAAAATATGATGCTATTCTCCAGACACTTACAGCATGTGTTGTTTCAAATGTAGGTAAGATGGAATTTGTCACAGTAATTCTATTGTTGCCCTCTCTTGGGTATGCAGTACTAGGGCATGTCATTTATTTAGAATATTAGCCAGATTGGTCAATCAACATTATTTCCTTCATGATGTCTGTTAGCGGCTAAAAAGGTGTCTCGGTGGCTGAGAGCATGTAATGGTCTTTAAAGGGGCCATGTTCTATTCCCTGTACCCACATTGGGAAGTTTGCCTATAACTCTAGCTGCAGAGAACACAAAACTCTTTCTGGCCTTGTGGGCACCTGACCCATTTGCACACAACCCTCCAGATAGCCTAGCCACACACACACACACACACACACAAACATCCCTTAAAGAAGATGTTTTAGTCATCCTCCATTTTTAAAGTCATCCCACCTTGAAGTGGAAACCCACTTGGCTGTGGAGAGTAACCCTGGGTTGGTGTGATCGAGAACCTGGGCCCGAATTCTGGTCTTGAAAGCCAATACACAGGACATAAGCAAGGTGTCAGAGACCACAACGAACACATAGAAAATGACTCTCTCAGAGATGGCCACAGACAGACTTTACAAGTGCTGTGGCACTGAAGCGATTTCCTCCTGAGAAGGAGCTGTGGCATCCATCCCAGATGGCAGGGGAATCCGAGAAGAGAAAGCTCATCAAGAGAAACAAGTAACAACACTGAGGGAGTTTTCCCAAGATGCACTTCACCTCCAACTCTTGCAGACTCTTCTGGGCACCGATAGCAGTGACTGGGCCCAACTGTCTGCTGTCTGCAGCTTCCTGAGAGTTGGTCAGAGAACTAAAATTCTCACCAGTTTTAAATGATGCTTTGTAACACTTTTAACATTTTTACAAAATAAATATTTACTGGGTTAGGGATTGTTAGACACACACACATACCACTGGTCACAGATGGATCTTGATGTCTAAGTTTGAATCTTGATCTACACAGGGGAAGAAAAAAATCAACTTCAGTAAGTTGTTCTCTGTGCTCCACACTTGTGCACACACACACACACATACACACACACACACATACACAAACACACGCACAGGTAACAAATAAATACGAAACCATTTTAAAAGTTGACTTCAAGTAATTACTCACGATATTAATAATACACATTGCGATTTTATGTGCCATGTTTCTCCTACTTCAAGGCCACAATATGAAAGTGGTGTTTGTCATCCGCAGCAATACTCAATACTGAGTGAGAACAAATCAGGGCAAGTGACAGTTATTTAATCCAGCTTCCAATTTACTTGTAATGAATAGTAAGTAAAATGTCAACATTAAAAAATGCCAAACATCTTTTATTTAATAGTAACTAATATTAAATAAAATGTTAGTTTTTTTTAGAATCATATGATTTTACCACATTGTAACTTATGCTGTGGTTATGGATCCTATCTTATTAAAAAAAACACACACACACACACACTTTTTTTTTGGTTATTGATTGTGCTTTGTTGTGACATATCCAAATTCAGAAAATACTTTTGAGCATCGGGTGTATACGTGGATCAAAGCCAGTGTCACAGCAGTTGATAAAGGACAGGACAAAGCAGCTCGTTCAGTGACAGAAGCGTAGGCTCACCAGTTCACAGTCAGCCTGGCTTTCAAAACACTCCAGAACAGCCAGAGCCACCTGGCCAGATACCATCCTAAAGACACAAAACACAACATAAAACTTAGCCACATAGGAAATACGTGCAACAGCTGTGTTAAAAACAGGTTGACATTGCCAGTGATCAAAACATACAGATCACACAAAAGGATGTCAAATTTTAGGACCGCAATACTTGGGAGCCATTTTTTTTTAATTTTCTCATGTTTTTAAATAAAATTTCTGTAACAATACTCTACATGTGTTTGCAATCATTTTCAATTTAAAAAAGCGTTATTGTAAGCGATAGTCATATATTTTTCAAAAAGACAGTAGTATAATTTAATTATCCTCTCCCGGGTGACCAAAATAGTCCAAGATTATGCAGTTTGAAAAGCTATAAACCTCCTTAAATAAATTACAACAAAATCACCATATTTCCCTACACTTCACAATTATGAGTTTTTTCTCTATACCAACAGGCAACCCAAGAGACACGAGGGATTATTCAAAATACATTTTGAAATAGACTTCACATGTCTGGTGTTCTTCTCATGACTTCTTACTGCTATCAATATTTTATTTATATGTAACTCAGCAATACTTACAAATCCATTCCAAAGTTTCATTTAAAAAAAAAAAAAAAGACTGGAGAGATGGTTCAGCAGTTAAGAGCACCAGCTGCTCTTCCAAAGGTCCTGAGTTCAATTCCCAGCACCCACACGGTGGCTCACAACCATCTGTAATGGGAAGAAGACAGACAGTGTACTCACATACATAAAATACACAAATAAATCTTTTTTAAAAAACTATAAACAACAAAAACCAGAGGTGTCTGCAAAAATAGCTCAGCAGTTAAGAACACCAGCTGCTCTTACACAGGTCCCAGGTTCGATTCCCAGCAACCACACGGTGGGTGACAACATCTGTAAGTCCAGTTCCAGAGGATGCAGATCAAATGTCATCCTCTGGTCTCCTTGGGTACCACACATACAGGTGGCACCCAGACAAACATGCAAGCCAAACACTCACACACATAGAATGAAAATTAAAAAGAATTTTAAAAATCTTTTTAAGTTAGAGAGGCTAGTTAAAATTAACTCTATAAACACAGAAGTAACACTGGACCTTGGTTTTGTTTGACTGCTTTGGAAACCAAGTCTTAATCTGTCACCCAGGCTGGCCTCAAGCTCAAGGGAACATCCCTGCCTCTGCTTCTCAAGTGCCACACTTTCGGTTACGCACCACCACACCAGGTCTACCAAGATGCCCTCAAGGTTACTACAGCCAGACTGCTCTGAGCTGCTCAATTGGTCTGTAGAGCTAGCTCTTGTGATGATGCACTTCAGAGGAGAAAGGTGTTCAAAGTTCCAAGGCATGAAGAAATGACAAAATAGTTCTACTGACACTCTTGATGCGGCAGAACAAATGGTTGCATTGCCTCTGGCCACCTCACGGTTCCACTGAGCTCCTTTCCCTTCCTGTCCGTCAGCCCACACTGTCCGTAGCTCTCTCTCCCTCCTGTCTCTCTGACTCCATCCTCTCTCATGACCAAACTGGCCAACAGAACCCAGAGGACCTGCGTTCCAGCTGCAGCCGTAGTTTGCTCAGCATCACTCCCCGTATTTCCTCCTGTGGAGTGAAATGACTTGTGCAAAAATATAACAGTCAACACTAAGCCCTGAGGATCAACCAGGGGCAGGAATCCACTGGTACTAGGAAATGAGAAAGAGAGAGGGAGGGAAGGAGGGAGAGAGGGAGAGAGGAAGGGAGGGAGGGAAGAATGAGGGACAGTATGGACAGTATGGGCCAAAGCTGGAATGGAGGTAGTCAGAGAGTAGTCACTTAAATAAGCTTGGAAACATCAGCTTTGAGTTCATTCAAACATATGCACTAAAAAAAAAAAACAAAAACAAAAAAAAAAACAAAAAAAAGAAAAACAAAAAAACAAAAAACAAACAAACAAAAAAACGAAAGCAAGGAACACGTCCAGGTATTTGGGTCAGATATTTACTTAAGAATACACAGAATGCAGACGGCAGATGAAGAGAACATAGTCAGGGGGGAAAACCGACAGAAGCAAGAAGAAACATTCACCAAAAGTCATGATTAAAGACTGCATCGATTCCACAAGGCAGGAGATTAAAGAGCTGGTAAGATATGCACATAAAGGAACCGTTGAAGCTAAAAGAGGACGCTGAGCGCAGAGAAGGAACGCTAACGTGGAATCTGCTTTGCCAAAAATGAAGTCAGTGGCAAGATAAAATGTAGGGAAATTCACACCAATGAATATGTCTTAATGCATGGGGAGGATACAGGAGCAACACAAGGAACAAGAAGAGAATTAGGCTTCATGTAATACATCCTCAGGTTTTCCCGTTTCAGCAGGATGAAGCTTCAGAGATCGCTATGTCCAGGATAAAGTGACCCTGGAAGGACAATGAACAACAGGCAGATCTTGTGCAGTTCCCTGTCCAGGCGGGACAGCAGCTGTCTGGGGGAACAGACAAGTCATTAGAACCTGGTCTGTTGAAAGAAACGGATTTCAGAACCAGATTCTAGCAGAGACTGTTCAGGACATTTTTACATAAAGAACTCAAAAGCTAGGGTGTGTCCTGCGGTTTAATTGAAAAAAAAATCGACCGATTGCCTCAGGCAAGATTAATCAATTCATTATGCATGTAACATAACAAAATCAGGCAAGATTAATCGATTCATTGACGACGCATCTCACATAACAATAAGAAAACTGCCAAAGAGAAATTGTGATCTAAAATAAAATAAATCCCTGTCAGTAAGCACAAGACTCATTTGAAATTAAAATAAAGTCGAACAGGATAATTATAAACCAGAACAACTATTCTAGAACATTTTGGTAAAAAATAAGTATGTGCGTGAGGGGGAAATAACCCAATTTCTTCCCTTCACGAAAATATAACTGAACTTCAGAATGCCTTGTAAACACTGTAGCCAAAAAACGAAAGGTCAATAGTCCTTGTCACACACACACACACACACACACACACACACACACACGCACACACACGTTCTTAGAAAATCATTTGTCAAAGCAACCAGAAGGGGTGGAGGAGCTAGATGCTCAGTGTACCCAGCGCTTACCCTGCACTGGGATGAGGAGCCCCAGCCACCATGTTAAAGCTGGGAGTCATGGCGACTGCCTGTAATTCCAGCACTTGGAGGCAGACAGCAAATCCCAGGGCAAGCTGGCAAGTTAGCCTCTGGCCTCCACACGCATGCGAATAAATATGCATGCTAAACCTTTTTAAATGGATGCGTATACATAAATATTACATGTAGGTATACACATAAATATACATAAACATAGGCCTATATTATATATAATGTCCCCATCAAACTCGATTTTGAAGTCAAACTGCCTTCTAAGTTTCCCAGTGTGGGAGATTTTAGGTAAGGACTACAAGATAATTGCCAGTAACAATCAAAGCTACTCGTGAATTCTTTTCTGATTGTCGTACGAGGGAAGACAAGCACCCTCATCCTTGTGAACTAATAAAATAGTCGGATACCTACAGCAACGCCCTCCTCTTAGGCCAGTTTCCTAGGCTGAACAGCATCAGGTAGCATGGTGGGAAGGGGAGGGAGACAGAATCTTTGCTAGAAATCTTCAGACTTCATGTAGGGTTGGTGGTTTCCCAGACAGGGCTGCACCTGTGTGTCATATGTGTAATGTGTGACCAATCAGAAACGCTTCTACAAGAGCGTCCAGGGTTTAGTCTACTGAGGCTGTCCCTCCCTCCTTCCTCCTTCAAGGCTTTGTTACATCCTCTGGTGTCTCTCTTTCTTCGATCACTTCACATAACTCAGATTACCAGCACTTGATAAGGACGTTGATTTGTTACACATGTTTAAAACACAATTGTATTAACTTCTAAACTTGTTTCAATTTTCATGCTTTGAATACGATGAAGGACAAAGGCTTCCCCTTTTGAAAATGGCAGGGTGAATTTGTCCCAGGTTCCGTCACCCAGCTTGTCCCAAGAACCACAAGCAACAAGGAAAGCCAACTAAGCTGAAGGCCCTAGCCTTGAGCTTTGGAGATGAACCCCCATGGTTATCACAGATCATCTGGACATGACGGAAACAGTTTGAGGGAGATACATACAGTTCCAGGTCTTAGAAGGAAGGGAAGATAAAGGAAACTTCCTGGAGGGAGAAAAAAAAACCCTACATGCCATGACAAGAAGCCCCAGTAGCAGTGTAGGACAGGGATGTGCAGGGATGTATCTATTTATGCTACAGTAACATGAGCCTATTTTTTTTCTTCTTTTACCTCACTAACCAAAACAGCAATAAGTGTTCAAGGAATTGACAGAAAGTAACTCCATACAGGAAATGCCTGTGAGTTTGTGATCAGACTGCAGGAAATACCAAGTAGTTTGTATCACGACACGGGAAGCAGCTAATAGTTTGTACCATAGCCAGATCTCCACATCCATTTCATTCCCCACAAGCAACTGTCCACAGACATCAACTAAGTTCACTCAAAGAGAACTAAGCCATGAGGAATACACATGCAGAGACGGTGCATCCAGAACATACAGGCAGAGAAGGGATAGGACAAAGGCCCCACCAGAAAGACGTGACCAGGAACACACAGAAAATACAGGCAAATGTTGTGCCCGTGGGTTTTTAAAACCGCAACAAGAGCATAAAACAGACTTACGAAAGCTAGAGAAAGGATTATGAAGAAGAAAAAATCGCAAATGTCAAAAAAAAAAGTATAAAAAGAAAGATCTTACAACAGCTCAGGAAAGGACCAAGTGTTGAACACATCCTGAGAGAGAAGTAACAAGAAATAGACTCAAAGAAAGGAAGTATGCTAGGGGAGAAAAAAAAAAGCAAGTGCACCTAACATAAAACAAACAAGATAGTGGGGACCTGTGGAGGGAGAGCAGGAGAGAGAGAACAGAAATGGGGGTTGGGAGCATCTCTAGAACACGCCTGAGACTAGGATAGGGGGAGGCCCCGGGGGTGGACTCTAGCTGAGACTCCTAGCAGTGGGAGATATGGAACCTGAACTGGCCACATCCTGTAGCCAGTCAGGACTTCCAGAGGAGGGCAAAGGACACCAACCCACCCACAAAACCTTCAACTCAAAATGGGTCCTACCTACAAGATGTTCAGGGACAAAGATGGAGCAGAGACAGGGGAAAAGGCCGACCAATGACTGCCTCAAATTGAGGCCCATCCCATGGGCAAGCACTAATCCCTGACACTGTTGGTGATACTCTGTTATGCTTGCAGACAGGAGCCTACAAATACCTGTCCTCTGAGAGATGTCGAGACTCACAACCAACCATTAAATGGAGCTCAGGGAATCTTGTAGAAGAGTTGGGGGAAGGATTAAGGGACCCAGAGGGGATAGGGACTCCACAGGAAGACCAATAGAGTCAACTTAACCTTGTCCCTTCAGAGCTCCCAAATACTGAATCACCAACCAAAGAATGAGCATTGGCTGGACCTAGGTCCCTACACACTTGTAGCATATGTGCAGCTTGGTCTTCATGCAGATGCTCCAACAACTGGAGTGGGGCTATCACTGAATCTGTTGCTTGCCAGTGAATCCTGTTCATTCCCCTAATCGGGCTGCTTTGTCTGGCCTCCGTGGGAGAAGATACCCGTAGGTCTAGTCCTGCAGTGACTTGATGTTCAGGAGGTTGGGTGGTGTGTTGGGGGGATGACACTCAGAGGATAAAGGGGAGGATCTGCATGAGGGGGTACTGGAAGTAGGGGAGGAGATGATATTAGGATATAAAGAGAATAAATAAATAAATAATCAAAATTTAAAAATTAGTTCACAGAAGATAGATAGATAGATAGATAGATAGATAGATAGATAGATAGACACACACACACAACTTGTTTTCTTTACAGAAAGAAAAGGACAATACTTAACAGTCTGTTTTCAGAAATGGAACAAATTTAATCATTAGATTGATTTATAGAGAGATCCTGGCTGGAGATATGGCTGGGCTGGTTGGGAAAGTATCTGGTGGCGGCGGCGGCGGTGGGGGGGTTCCTCAAACCCCACCTGTAAGGGCTATCTCTAATCCCAGACATAGTAACTGGACTGAGGCTGGGGCAGCAGGAGCTCAAGGTCAACTGCATGACAGCCTGTAGGAGATGTTGAATTCCAGGCAGAAAAAAATGCTAGGTGTTAAAGGTATGAGAAGTGGAGACAGAGAGAAAGGAGAAGGGGGAAGAGAGAGAGAAGACAGGAGAGAGGGGGGGGGAGGGAGGAAGGGGGGGAGGGAGGGAGGGAGGGAGGGAGGGAGGGAGGGAGGGAGGGAGAGAGGGAGGGTGGGTTCCCCATTCTTTTCCTTTCTCTCCTCTCTCCTTCTCATCTTTGAGGCTCTGATATGACCGAGTACTTTAAGCCAAGAAGCACTCTAGAGCTTTCATTAAAATACTTGCTTTCCAAAATTCTAAAAACTGTCCACTATTCAGTCGCATTGAATCGCTGCATTTTTTTTTCTTTTTCGTTACAGAAAAATGGGAGTATTTCTGAACTTTAAAAATCTCCAGACTTCCCTACGAGACGCCATTCTCCTGGACTACTATGTGTCTGGGTTCTGCTGGGCCAAGGACATGAACTTTTCTATCGACCAGTACTCGAAATTTATGACGTTGCTGGACATGTTACTTCATAATCTTCAAAGTAAGGGTGACCCCTGAATGTCATTTTAATGGGAGGAAATGTATCATGTGTAAATTAATATTCAAAAGCCAAGATGCTTGCTTCATTGTGATTCCTTTAATAAGGACTGCAGGCTTGTTTCCTAGATACAGCAGGGGCAGCTTGTTTATCATTGAATGGTAATTCCTCAAAGAATTTTTAGTGACACTAAGGTTCTCTTTGTTGATTCGCCAAAGTTATTCTAATTAGCATTCCCCCCTGCACCACAGACATCTGAGGGTACGCTGATATTTTGGCCAAGTTCTGGATATCCGGGACTACTTTGAAATCTGAATAAATCAATCTATTTTTAAAGTGGAATACTATGTATTTAGAAAAAAGTTAAATAAGTTTCTGCATGCTGTGTGCATATTACTGGAGTAAAAGAACAGGAAACACTATGCACTTTTGATAATAAAAAATAAAAACCTGAATGCGTTTTTATTTATATGCATTCAGGAAGGCAGAAAAAAATATAAAGGAAAATAAAATACGGGAAAAAAAATCAGGCATGTCTGTGAAGCCAGGCATGGAGGCACACTCTTAAATGCTAGCACTTGGAAGCAGAGAGGGGACTTAAAAGTCTAAGACAAACCTAACACATAGCAAGAATGGGTTTTAAACGTAAAAATAAAAATAAAAAAATCTGGGGAGGATGTGGAAAAGGCGGTGTGTACAGCAGGGGTTGGAGGAAGCCTTGTTCAAGCCAGATCTGCATATAAAGCAAACCTTGACTGCATCACTCAAAGGAGAACTAAAGTGTCAAAGGCCGTTTGATGTGGTTGTCTCAAGCTTTGCAACTTCTGGGCAGAGTATTCATAGTCTGAAGAGAGCAGAAGGTGAACATTTTTTCCCCCACGAGCTTCACAATCCAAATTTGAGTGAATATTTTTCCGTCTTACACCTTCCCCCACTTCCCCTTGGCCTCCAATGGCCCTTAATTGAGCTTCACATGGTCGGTATCAGTTCCAACCTGGACTTCTGACTCGCTAAGAGGCTTTGTCCAGCTAAGGCACGAGAAAGCAAAAATATAAATGCCAAATGAGGGAAAAGCAAACATTCATTTTATTTTTTCCCCTCTGGTAAGAAAACATCTTCTTCAATATAATTAGACTGTGAACAAAGAGTAGAGCTTCCGTCGGTTTCAAGGAGGTGACGTGTGTTTACAGTTAAACCAGGGGACCGTGGAGTCCTGACCACAAAGTTATCAGGCCCCACTCTACCACGGCTCCAGCCAGGAAGCATGGTCCTCCTTCGTGGTTGTAAAGTGGCCCAGCCCACCTAAGACCCACTTTGGAACAGCCAGGGTTCTGACCTGATCCTTGTCCTATGTCTGTGTTATATGTGTATAAGCCAATCTGCAGAAAACCACCTCAAATCTAAACAGATCATCTCAAAGATATAAAGGCCAGTACTGAGACTTATCTGTTTGTTTGTTTGTTTGTTTGTTTGTTTGTTTGTTTTTTCGAGACAGGGTTTCTCTGTATAGCCCTGGCTGTCCTGGAACTCACTCTGTAGAGCAGGCTGGCTTCGAACTCCGAAATCCACCTGCCTCTGCCTCCCAAGTGCTGGGATTAAAGGCGTGCGCCACCACCGCCCGGCTGATACTTATCTTAAGACCATGTTTTTGTGGGTTGTACTCACTGAAGGCAGAAAATATTTCTGGGGGAAAAAAAAGATCATGTCTGTTCACCAGGCTCAGATTTCATCCTTGTCAGTATTTCTTGAAGAATAGATAACAGCAAATAATTTATATGTTATTATTCAGAGAGAGACGTGAGTCAGGGTCAGAGTCAGGGAGTTAATTCCTGAAGGTAACATGAGGTCATCTTCAGAAACAAGAGTCTGTCCTTTTTGATGCCACCTCAGACAAGGCAGGCAGGAGTCAGAAACCTAGAGCGAGCAGCCAAGACAATAAGCTAGAATCTGGCCTGCCGCAAAATGCTATACCAGGGAACATGTGATGGACGAGAAATGATGCATGCCAGGAAGAGCACGTATGTAGCAGACCAGAAATGCATACTCAAAAGCAAAGGTTCATATGTAAGGGGCTAGATGTGGCTACACACAGCCCAGGGCACTTAGGCAAAGGGCCAGCCATGGATACGTGCTAAGAAGGACACATATGTAGAAGGCCAGAAAGCACCACACACCATGAACGGCACATGTGAAACAAGCGTGAAGCTGGTTCACAGTGGAAATACTACATGTCCAACAGATGGGAAAGCGGAATACCTCGGAAACGGCACATTCAGAGTAGGATACAAACTGGTACACGCTGAAGTGGTACCAGAAGCATCACCTCCAAAGAGCCCCCGAGTAGACCAGCTGTCCAAGAGTTGCCAGTGCACTTGCTATTTTTCTGCCACAGTAGCACAGTTATCTTCATCTTGGATGAAGGAGTTTAAAGATAAGATTTAAAGCTGGCATGTGTCCCTTTACCTGATCACACCCCCTCTGTCTTACTGTTACAAATCTAGTCTTCTTCCTTACCTAGGTTTCCCAGAGTGCATTTGGTTTAGTCCCCCTCAGTCTTGTCACCCCCTTTGTGGGACCTCAGCCTGATCCATGAAAGGGTAACCCCTGTAATTTTCAAAGCGATCACCTCGAGAAAGGCAAGAGGAGCCATGAGACAGTTCTAAAGGGTCAGCCATTGGCTAACCCAAGCAACAGCCTTACAACTAGATGCATTCCATGTTTGATAACTACAGTTCCATCCAGAACTCAAATCAGTAATCTAAATTCCCGCTTCCACAGCATCTTGAATATAATGAGTCTGATATTCTACTTATGATGGCTTGTTCTCATCCCATCTCAACCGTATCCATCTTTTCTTCCTAAATCCCCTCCAACCTTGGGGTGTTTAGGATTCATTGTAAGTAGAGAAATGTACAGTTGGACTTTGTTTTCCCTGAGATAGTAAACAAAAGCCCCTTGTCCTGCAGTTCTGTGTGGCTCACATGCTAACCCATGACCTGTAAGAGGGTCTGACTGCAGAAGGATTACCCCTCATCATTTATGAGTCACTTTGTTTCCGGGGCCTACCCCCCCCCCCCAGCACCAGGTCCACCTCCTGCAGTGCTCAGTGGGGTTCAATTGATTCACATTTCTTTCTAACTTCTATAGATAGAAGAAAAGTTGAACTAAATAAATCATAAGCTAGTGCTTGCCTGTCATGTGTTTCTAAAAAGTGCATCAGTGATTTTTGAGAGCTGGCGCTTGTCGAATGTGCATTCCAGAGAAAGGGGAGGGGGGAAGGTAGGTGTCTGACTCAGCTACTCTAGATGTGGGTGAAGCAACCCAGCATACATTTTCACAATTCATCTCTATCTCCAACCTCGTCCTCCAACATTCCATCCTAGTGCGGGAAGGAGGGTGTTTATCAACGATTTCCTAAGAGATCTTCAACTCTGGGCTGCAACTTTCACAAAAAAAAAATCTCCTCAGGCACCTCAGCCTGGCACCACCGCTGAGAGTGATCGCTCTTGACATTCAGCCCGTACACATTTTCCCAAGACCTTCCAACCCTGCCTCTGGCCACCACTGTTTCGTGTGTGCTGGGGTCCAGGAATTGCCTCACATACTAAACAAACACTGATCTTTGTCAGACAAGGATAGTTTATTGAGCATATGCCTCAGGACTGGTGAACCACGGTCCAGATTTGGGGAGTGAACCATGACCCCCCGAGTTAAGATCCTACAGGGTTTTTAAGCCTCAAATCCACAAACATCTGTGCCAAGGTATTTTACCAATCAGGATTTAGGGATAGGGGATTTCCTTAGGAGCATGTCTTTGTTATATATTTATCCTGCTTCCACTGGTTGGGGTGTTGAACTGTGGCAGGGGACTTGCCTTGTCTAGTATTCATGTCTTTACTTGTCTGCCAGGATGAGACTTGTGTAACATTCATGTCTTAACTTGCCAACCAGAATACCAGTTACCCACACACATGTCTCTTTCTGTCGAGTAGGATGTTAGTTCCCAGGGAGGTCTTTGGAACTTAAACTTTACTAGACCAGTACTTAAGATGGAAATTTTATTTTAAATAGTTTCTTATATTGGTACAGGTCTCTCTCATGTTAGGGTCTGTTACAGGGGCAGCTTATACCATAAAAGCTTCTCCATAGGTTCGGAAAGTGCTGTTGGGCAGTTGGTTCGGGTCCAAGCTTATTGTGGGCCACTATACAAAACAGTTTTACTGACTTCTATCATGGCTGGTTTTCAGGTCCACAGAACATAGTAGATACGTAATCAATCTTGGCATTTGAAGGCTTTCTAGTAACAGCAGAATCATATGAGAAAGTTTCCTGCTAACGGCAGTAGCTAGCCAGGCAACAGTTACCTAGGCCCTGACACTCCATGTAGGCCTAATATTTAACCTAGGCCTTAACAGTGTGAATACCTATGAACCTGTGACAGAAAAGATGCTCTGGATGCTCCAGTTGCCAGCATCTATTCTCCAAGGTGGGATGCCAGAGGGGATACAGATTACAGGTGATAGTCTACCTGCCACAAGGAAAAAGATCAAACACACCCCACCAATCAAAACAAATGGTATACATTGATATTTTCACCAAAGACACCATAGAGTTAAGTCTGAGGTTATTAATATATATGTTTGTTTCCAGCTGGACAAGTGTCATAGAGAAGAGCCTGTGCAGTCCTGTTGTTGTTTGGCTGTGTACACGCACATGTGTCTGGCTGTTGTGTATTTGTAGTTTTCTGAGAGTCTTCTGAAACCACCAAGCTGCTCATTGTGGGTCATGATGAGGAAGGTGTATCATTTTCCTCCAGGCCTGACAGTCTCACCAAGGCCCGTTTTACAAACAGGTCCCAGGGCTTTGAAGTCTGTAATGGTGGTGACATTTTATAACAAAAATTCCTATTTTTCAATATAAATATTTAAAGGGTTTGCCAGATGGCTTGACAGCCAAAGGCATCTGCCATCAAGGCTGATGACCCAAGTGCAGTCCTTGGAAACCCACAGGTAGAAGGAGAGAACCAATTCAATGAAACTTTTCTTCACCCTGTGCCCAGTGGTCACACACACACACACACACACACACACACACACACACACACCACAAAATAAATAAAATATAAAAATAATTACATAGAGTTTGAAAACATCCATAGGCTTTATTCCTATCAAAAATCTTCAGGCCAAGTTTTCACATGATAACATCCAGTTATAGCCCAGAAAAAAGGGGGTTCCTCTTATTGACCTTCTCTCTTGAGTTCAGCACTGACGTCCACAGGGTCTGAACCCATGATCTGGGTCCCCTAGCCACCTATGACAGCCTGCTTTTCTCTAAGTTTTCTATAGCCTTCTCTGTCCCTTAAAAATCTGTTTTAAACTGTTCCTTTCCATTTAGAATCAGTATTTAGATAGCTATTCATGGTTTCTCTTTTTAAAATGGAAATGGGCTGTCCAGACAACCATATGTATATACAGTCACAGTGACAACAAGTCCACTGCTGACTTGACTCATCCAAAAAAAAATTAAAAAGCAATGATTAATTTGTTGTAAAGAAACAAGAGGCTTACCTTTTCTCTCCAGGAAGGCTGGACAATGTAAACTGGGGCACACTTAGGTCCTCCTGGACTACTGTACCCCGACAAGAGCTACCGGGATAACGGAAAGTCTCTCTTCACTCTGGTTTTTCACTCAGCACTGCACATGTCCTTAGAGGACAGCATTAAGTGGCTCGGGGAAGTGATGGCAGAAATCGGACCAAACCATTCGAGGACCAATGAGAATTTCCATGTCTTTGACGTCAAGGAAGCCAACGCCATCATCGATTACTTAAAAATCAGGTAGGACTTGTATTCATCCCATCAATCTACTGGTCTGTGTCTACTAGATGACCTCCATAAAAGATGACTTAGATTGTAGTAACTCGGATGAGCTATAGAATCTATCAGTTACTATTCAATAAGCAGATAACACACAGGCTCGGGAGATGGCTCATCGAATAAAGGTGCTTGCTACCAAGTCCTGATGACCAGAGTTCCATCCCTGGGACCCACATCATCGAGGGAGAGAATCAGCTAACCCCTTCAAGCTGTCCCTTGACATGTATGGAGGCACAGAAGCATCCACACACCTACATGAACACAAAGTTGATGTTTAGAAAGGAGAGAATACTCAACTTCTCCATCTAACAAATGAAGGTGGGGACCTGAGCATTTCTCTCCCTCTGTGTTCCTAAAGAGAATTCTCAGATGACACCATGGTTTCATCTGGCCTGTAGTTACCACTGTGGACGGTCTTTCGTCCCTGAGTCTGTACCTAACAGCATTCTATTAACAGAATTGAATCTAGTTATAATGGATCTATAATTTAGGTGGCTGGTTTTTATCCAATGAGACACATTTACATTTTAAAGAGTTACACTCATTTCCACTTAAAAGTTGATTTTACATGATTTGTCTTTGCAACCCAAGAGTTACAGCAGAGGCCTGTAATCCCAGCTAGGGGAGGCTGAGGTATTATGATATCAGTTCAATAAGCAAATTAGTGAGACCTCATCTCAACAATATTTGCAAAGAGGGTTAGGAATGTAGCTCCTTCATAGGGTATTTACCCCCACCAAGCCTGGGGCGGTATGCTCAATCCCTAGTATGGAAAAAAGGAAAAGAAAAAGAAGAGATTCACATATTTTATCAAATTTGTTAAACACCCTAAGATATTTTGAAGTAATAGACAGTTTAACTCATTATAAAGTCATACTTTCTACTTAGAAAATAATGGTTGATGGCGTGGAAGGATTTTTATATCACCACTACTGAAGCAAAACATTCATCCCACTTTTTTGCCTGTGTTTGTTGTAGTACACATGCGTATTTGCTTACACAGGAACACACATGTGTTCGAGGGCGTGCACATGTGTGCCGATGTGTCTGGAGGCTCAGGTTGAGCTCAGATATCTTTCCCAATTGTTCCCCTCTTCATTGAATTTCTCCATTGGACCCAGAGCACTCTGATTCCGAGTATCCAACTTGGCTCCAGGGAAACCCTGGCTCCACCTCCTGAGCAGTGGGCTATGTGTCGGTCCACCATGTCCATCCAGCATTTATATGGGTGCTGGGGACCTGCATGTCAATCCTCTTGTATGTGCAGCTAGTACTGAGCCATCTCCCAGCCTGAAATCTGTCGGTATAAAGCTTATCCCAAAGCGCGTGTGTGTGTGTGTGTGTGTGTGTGTGTGTGTGTGTTTGTGTGGCATGCCTCTCTCCAAAGAGACTTCGCAAATACCTGAGCAGCAGTAGATGAAAAGTCACCTCCGACTAACTACGTCTCTCTGCACAGTCTCCCTGCTCTCTCTCTCTCTCTCTCTCTCTCTCTCTCTCTCTCTCTCTCTCTCTCTCTTCAACTGGGTCCCTATTTCCCAACATAACCTTTAGCATCCTTCAACACAGGGGCCCACCTAATGTCCTACACAGCTTCAAGATTCACATGGCAAAGAATGGCAAAGATCTGAGTGTCACCTGGAAACTTTATAAACGTTGTTGTGTTTAATATAATAAATATAAATATACTTATTTCCGGTAGGCTTAGCAACGGCATATAACACAGTACTTTCTATAAGGTAGCATGTAATACAGTGTGCTTTTATTTTTATTTTTAGTTTTTTAGTACAAAGCATATCTCCTTAATGTGCTAGTCTCACTGAAAAGCATAGAAATTTCCACATCTTTTAGAGCAAGACCAGTTCCTCCAATCGGGAGAGAGGAAGAAACAGACAAGAGCCTGCCCTCAGGGCTGGGTATAGATGATGGCTCTGTGGTAAAAAGCTTGCTACAGAAGCCTGAGGACCTGAGTTTCAATCCTTAAATCCACAAAAAAGTCAGGTGTGCCTAGAAGACCAGGACAGACACATAGGGAGACAGCAGGTGGTGCTGGGAGAATCTCTAGAAGCTTCTGGAGCAGCCAGACTAGCCTATGCAACAGTGAACACGAAAGAACACGTCTCAAACAAGATGAAAAGCAAAAGGGAAGACCAACACCTAAAGACCAATCCCACTGGCTGTCCTCTCACCTCTAACACTCACCATGGATTTGCTCACACACATACACACACACACACATACACAGACATGTGCACACACATTTACACATGAACACACACATGCATACACGCATGTATATACATGTGCACACGTGAATACACACACATGTGCACACTTATAGACTCACACACATGTACACTCACACATGCGCAAACGCATGTATTCGCATGTGCAGACACGATGTTATATACACGTGCACACACACGCGCACACATGCACACACTTGCACCTGCACACTCACACATGCACCTATGTAAACAGACACACATGCACACCGAAACATGAATACACATATGCACATACACTCACACAGGCACACACATGTATACAAACTTGCACACACATACACACATACACAGGCACATACGTGCACACTGAAGCACACGTGTGCCATGTACACACTTGTAAGAATCTGTGCACTGAAGCCCTTCTGCCCCTTAGGGTTTGAGAGTCCCCAGACAGGGTAAGTCAACCATGCCTATTTGCACTGGCTTCCTTCTTCATCCGCACATGCCGTCTGTCTGGCAGGGTACATTTGTACAGATGAACCGTACACTCAGCATCTAAGCTCCCATGAATGCCATAATGACCCTTTCCTCACAGTGTGGGACAAGCTGCCTTCCTCGTCTCAACTCATCATCCCCCTGCCCCAGGCAATGTTCCTCAGCCAACATCTACACAGCTCCACGTGCCCAATCTTAGATCTCATAATGAAAAGACTATTTAAAGGGATTAGTCAAATACAGAGAATCCAAATGTAATGCCTGCTAAATCTCCACATTGTGATCTATGCATTTAAATATAGTTATTACACAAAAGATAAAACATCAGCTATTAGGGTATCTGGAATCGATAATGGAGTTGCATGAACCAGCGTGAGTCTTTCCAGAGCTGTTAAGAATCCCTCGTGGGTCCACAAATAGAAATTTAGTAGGAGTGAAATTACACACAACATGTTCAATTCAACGATTATTAAGTTTTATAAATACGCTGATGACTAAACGATCCAAAGCATGTGATGCTTCAGTTCAGTCTGATTCTCCGTTCATCAGACCACTGAAAGCCATACCCGACTTAAGGGAAGGAGCTTTTCCCACCATGGCCCATGGCCTGGGTGTCACATGACCACTCCCAGAGTGATGTGAACAAATGCCTGTTCACCCCAGAGAACGAAGAGACGGACCAAAGAAATAGTTCTGCTCAAGCCTAGCTTAGTGAAATAATGCGCTTATTAGAACTTCTTACAGAAGCAGGGATGACTCAAAGGTAGCTGAGTCACCCCCACCCCCACCACCAGCATGGGTGACAACTGTGAAAGCCACATCCTCAGAGCTCCCTGCACACTGTGACAGGTAGCTTTACCAATGGCCCTCTCCAGCGGCTGCTTACGGCTTATCCAGCCTTGGAGTGGGACCTCGGAATCTTGTTATTTTCTGGACTTCTTGAGCCCCTGGTTTCAGGATCTCCTCGGCCTTGAATGACTTATTGTCAACTCAAGTCTTATAAAACTCTCCCTCTAGGAGGGGATGCTACACATAGGAAGAAGAGTCACACAATGGTGCGAAACTTACCTTGTCAGTAAATTCACATTTCTTTAGACACTCTCGCTTTAGTCTAAATGATACATGTTTTAACCTGTGCTCTGAAAATACTGCTCCAAAACTCTCTTCTCCACATGACTGTGGGTACTACTTCTATCTGCTTAGACAATCTAAACTAGATCACACACACACACACATACACACACACACAGTGCTATCTGTTTATGCAATCTAATGAACTATGTGTCATATATTATACTTGGAATTAGAAATGCAAATTTTTACCTTTTATTTGCTTGAATGTCCTTTTCCTCCTGAGAACCACGTCTATCCCACTGTAACAAAACTAACCCCATTCCCACTTTGTGCCCAACAATGCATGACACTGGCCAGACAGCTCAGACAACAATATCTAGAAGCCTGAGTCAGATAGAAGCCCAACGGGAGAGATAGAAAATACATTCCCACAGCTGAACTGTCCCTTAGTCCTCAGGCAAGGTCCCTACTTGCTCCCTGGAGAAGCTGAAGGGTGAAGAGGGGTACAGAGAAGATGGTTATTCAGCAAGCGTCCCCTTAAATATCTTCCCCTGTGTATACATCCTGGTCCTGGTCCAGGCCCTGCATCCTTGTTGCATCATTGACCGTTATCTCCAAGCCATGGATGCTGCCGTTTCCATGGCATCCTCTCAGCAGATATGGGGCAAACTCATCCCTATATACAACAAAGACACAGAGGCCGGAAGTTTATGACATTTCATTCTTACCTTATGATCCCTGTCTAGCAAAGGTGGCCAAGACGGAGACAATAGGATTTTTTTTCTAGTTCATTTAGAGCAGTGGTTCTCAACCTATGGGTCAGGACCCCTTTGGCAAACCCTCTGTCTCCTAAACCATTTACATGACAATTTATATTAGTAGCCAAGCTACAGTTATGAAGGAGCAATGAAAATAAGTCTATGGAGGTCACCACAACACGAGGAACTGTACTTAAAGGTCACAGCATTAGGAAGGCTGAGGACCACTGATCTAAAGAGTAGCAAGCTAGCCTCCAATACAGTATTTAATCATTTCCACCCCAACATCAGTTATTGCGCCCCTGTGACGCTTCTGACGCTACACGTCTCTCTAGGTCACCAATATAAAGGATGGGGGATTTGAATTTATTTTGCTTCAGCGGATTGTCAGAGCTTGCCAATCTCCGTGTGTCTTTCTAGCCAACAGATCAAGGCAATGTCAAAAGCTAAGTTAGTCCTGTGAGTGTTGGTGAATGTATCAAGTATTCAAAGTCTGTAGAGAAGAAAGGAAATTTGACTGGGCCCACACAGTCACGACTCCTTAAAGGACTGTGTTCCTAGGGAGCCCCACAGCTAATGTAACTCGGAGGGGCCCAGCTGCCCGAGGATTTCTCCATTGACTTCAAATAAATTCAAACTTTGATCCATTACAGCTTCCAGAAGATGCCATTATGACACGTACTCCGTGGCTACGTTTCCACAAATGTTAATTTCTCAGTTATATTAAAATCAATTTTCTTAAATAGCAGAAAGGCACCAGAGTGAAGGAGAAAAACCACTAAGACAATTTTGTTGTTGTCGTTGTCGTTGTTCTTGGGCATTTTGCTGTATTATGAGTCTATTCATTTTCCCAACCAGCAGGAAGGGAATTAGAAAAATTCAAATATTATCACTAACAGGATATTAGAAGTCAGCTCTTCGGTAACATTTTTAACTCTCAATGGTACATCGCCACGCTCTTAACTTACTAGAAAGATTTATTTGCAAACGTGCGGGCTTTGAGCTCTTCATAGTCCCTCGTTCCTGACCACCCAGCTTTCCGGTGAGAAGAAAAGAAAATGGCTCGCCTTAAAATATGCCAGCCTTTGTTGCTCGCCCACACAGCCCACAGGAAGGTCGGACAGCTCAGAAACAGATTTCAGACCCTGCCAGGCCATTTTCCCCCTGGTGTTCTTACAGATTGATTTAATATTGAAACATTTTGGCGGTATGAGACGTTTTGGTTATAAAAACATAGCCCGGTGTGTTGCCAGGGCTAAGTCGGGTCTAGAGCAAAGTTGGGCGCTGCCGAGGAGGGTTCTAGGTTTCAAACTAGGAAACACACTAGATCAGTGGTCCTCAACCTTCCTGATGCTGCGACCCTCGAATACACTTCCTCATGTTGCGGTGACCTCCAACCATGAGATTATTTCATTGCTACTTCATAACTGTAATTTTGCTACTGTTTGTAATGTAATATCTGATATTGGAGATAGCTGATGTGTGAACACACACACAAGGGATGGCAACCCGCAGGTTAAGAATGGCTGCCGTGGATGCTTCTCTACCCTAGAGACACATCCCTGGTCCCCCTCCCCCATGTCCCAGGTGGCTCTGCTAACACTCTCTAAAGCCTATGTTGTCCTGTAAGTGTCTTAAAAAGCAAAACTCGAGTCTCCCAGTATTCCCAAGCAGCTTCCTTTTGGAATGAAAGAAAGATTTCTGTGCCCCAGTTGACTCTCTCTAGCTTGGTCAAAACCCTTTTCCTTTGCCTCAGATATTTTCTCTTCTCTCCCGCTGTCAATGTATGCTAGCTGCATGTGTGTTTCGTGTTTCAGCTTATTCCAGCACTACAGGCTGTACGAGTTTCTGTTCTACTCAGCCAGGGAAGAAATTGTCATCGGGACCGAGGTAAGTGAGGCTGGGGAGACTCTGCCGGGCTATTTAGCCGTACCTGAATCCGGAACTGCTCAAAGCAACTCCAGGTCATGCACGTTGAAGTGTTAATACAACCGAACAGTAACGAAAGAAGAATACTCACATCAGGTGAGATTCCGATTTAGAAAATAAGCCGACTTTGAGTCTTGGGAGAACTGTTAGGTACATACTTAACTATCTAAAGATTGTTGACAAATCTCTGTCCAACAGGACAATAGGGTTCTCGTGTCTTTGCCCAACTAAAGTCAGGACACTCCAAGGTGAAACAGCCCAGCTCACTTCTCTCTCTCTCTCTCTCTCTCTCTCTCTCTCTCTCTCTCTCTCTCTCTCTCTCTCTCTCCTGGTTTTGTGTTGCTGTCCTCTGCTCCTTTTTAAAACTTGCTTCAATCCTCACTTCCTCTCTAACACAAGCCTGATTTGTGGCATTGTGTTTCTAACAAAAGATTTGGGCTCATTCACTACACACACAACCTCTGAGGGTTTTGTCTTCTTTTTTCTTTCCTTTTTTTTCCCCCTTAATTTCAACTGACCTTCTCTCGCTAAATTTTGGCTCTCATTCCACACACATCCATCATCCTGTGAATTTCTCTGGTGTCTCCTGTGGGTTCATCCAGTCAAGCCACTCAACAGGAATGTTCCCCCAAGAGAAGGTCACGTGCTGCTTTTCTCGAACGTGTGACAGCCCTGTAGTATCATATAGGACACAGTCCTCCTGAAATTAACCCCAAATAACCATTTGGGTGACGAAGGGAAGAAGGGAGGTTTTACAGTAAACGGTCTATGGGGGGGGGGGGGGCCCTAGGGAAGCATTGTCAGAAAAGTCATACAAGTGCAAGTACTGGGAAAGAACCCTGGGTGGGGAATCCATCTTCATGAGACGAGGGTGGTATGGAAGGTGCTCCTGACAGTGCACCATATCCTTAAGCAGCTCCACTGCCTCCTAGAAGGATACGTGACAAGCACAGCCATTGTCATTAATGGTGGAGGGTGAAGAAGAAACCCCACCATCTACCCACCTTTCCTCAGATTAAGCACCTGACAGAATGAACCTAACCCTACTTCGGGACCCTTGGGTTATTGACATTGCTTCCACATCAACAAAAGCAGATGTTTAGATACACGAAGACCATGTCACAGAGTTTGTCTGCCTGTGTGCCTCTTCACTGCAAGGTCAAAGTCTGATGATATCTGTGAGCATGGAAAAGTCACATGGACAAAGTGGAGAGAGACAGACAGCTGTCTCTGTGTTTGCTCCATGCTGGTCAGAATGACAGGGTGTGCTTAATGGAAGGATGTTGGATCTTCCAGAGCTAAACAGTGACAGAACTGTAAAGGACTGGCAAAAGCAGCTATCATGTATTTTTTTGGTATCGTGGAAGTCTCTGATGGCTTCTGGTGCAAATACCTAGTGGTTAATTAATGGAGAAGGCAGGTGTCTGGGCCACTACTATGTGACTTCTTGTGCTGACCTTGAAGCTCTGGGCTCAAATGAGAAGCCCTGACAATCAGGGACATATTTCAGATTCAACAAGCTAAACCACTATGATAAGTCTGAGTTTCTTTCTTAACTGTCGATAGATGATTTAAGTGAAATACACATGCCTCTGTTCATTGATATATCCAGACCATGAATTAAAATTTTAAAATGACATACAATACTCCCATTTTCCATCTGCTAATTAGTAGACCCAAGCAATTCTGATCAGCGGCTGCCCAACAAAAAAAGAATAACCAAGCATTGGTCGCTCCATAATAAAATCATAGAAATATGTCTGCCATATCTTCCCACTGGATCTTTGAACTGGTCCAAAGTTCTGTTTCCCCACTAACCACTTGTTTGCTGGGAATGCAGGAGGTTCAGACGAGCATCGGGGGTGTCATGGGGATGCAGGGAGCAGTCCCAGCGGTGTGAGGCTATGTTGAATCTATGACGTGGCATCTTAAAACACTTACAATACAGGGAAATAAACCCATGGAAAGGAAGGACCTATGGGTAGAAGTGACTGGGCCTCCAAGTACACTCCAGACATCTTGTTCAGAGCACAGGGTACAGCATGAGTGTGGTTTAAGTGTGTCCGTCAAAGATCGATTCTTGGTTCCTGATCCCTAGTGTTGACATTGTAGAGCTGAGGGGACCCTGAACAGGGCAGCGCCTGACAAGAGAATATGTCATTAGAGGAGCATCCTCAGAAGGGACTGACATCCTGATGGAAGCCGAGAGCTCTTCCTCCCACACACCCTTGCCACGATGTCGCTGTCTACCGTTAGGATCTCACCTTAGCCACGCCCAAGAGAGCAACCTGCAATTAAATCTCTAGAACTATGAAGCAAACTAACTACTCTTCTTCATAAAGTTAGTCTACCCTGAGTATTTTGTTCTAGTAATGAAAAAAAAAATCAGTCCAGGGAAACAGTCCAAGCACAAACTAGGCTTAGCTGAGAGACCATCAGGTATGTGAACACCTGCTAGCTGTGCATTTGGTAATGACTGTGTGCCAATCCGGGTACCTCGTAAAACCGTTGTCGAGGTTTAAAGGTCTGCAAATTTGACTACGTGGAGGAATTTGAAAGGGGGCAGAATTATTCTGGATTGCTCAGGTGGGCTCAGAAATGATCATTAATTGCCTCAGAAAAGAAAGGGGAAGGCAAGAGACTGAGGGGAGAGATTGAAATAACGCATCTGTGGTCTTGAAAGAAGGGGCCCAAGCTCGGTCAACTGTCCCGGCGTCTGTTATGGGAAGGCCCTGTGATTTCTCAACATTGATTAAGTATTATTGTTTGTTACCATCATTATGAAAACTTAGATAGAAACTTAATGGATGTATAGAAAGCTAGCACAAGACACATATGAGTATTTAGGAAAACAGCATTTAGTATCAACGGAGGTGACTGTCTATATTCTAGATTTCCAACTTATACAAAATTCTAAACCGATTCAACCCACTAAAGGCCTCTTCACCCTCGCCAGACACACACAGTATCAGCAGACTGTAAATCACCTTGCCCTAACCTTTCCTCTGAGAACTAGGAAAACAGGGCAAGATGTTTGTTTTTAAAAAAACTTAAGTATTTTGAGATCTCAGCTATCAGCTCAAAAGCATTATGAATCTGGGGCTGGAGAGATGGCTCAGCAGGTAAGAGCACATTGCTTCTGCAGAGGACATTAGTTTGGGTCCATAGCACCCATATCAGTCGGCTCATGAGGCTTCAGCGCCAAGGGACTCTGGCGCCCTCTTCTGGTCACCCCAGGCACCTGCACTCATCTCACAGGCGCACGTCCACATGCATGCATAATTAACAGCAAGAAATAAATCTTCTTACAAAACATATGAATCTCAGAGGTAAGCCTGGAAGTTGGCAATGCTTTCGACCTAAGCATCTGTCTGTTTTTTTTAAAGGAGGCGAAGACATTCAGAAAATAAGAACCAGGTCTCTAATGAACAGGAAAACAGAGTGAGAGAAGAGAGTATAGGTGACCCCAAGAAATGTGTGCTGCACCCCAAAGGATCACCTTTGGGGGAATCGGTCCTTGTATGGACTGAATTCAAGTTAAAGATTTTCTCTGGAGTGTTTTAATCTACAATATATAATTCTAACCTCATCTAAACCAAAATTGAACTGCACCACCAGCAACCATTTCCCCATAAACAGAACCCAGCACAGGTTAAAGTCACCCATCAGAGAAAATACAAACAGATTGCAGGAGCCTAGATCTCACCGATTAGGCTAGGCTGGGTGACCAGAAAGCCCTGGTGTCCTGCATATCCACCTCCAGCACTAGAAGTATGTGTCACCGCACCCAGCTTTTGATGCGCTTGTTCTGAGGCTCAAACACAGGTCCTCAGGCTTGGGTGGTGAGCCTCCTGAGAGCAGGGTGTAAGTGGGAGCAGGCTGGGAAGTGGAAAAGGGCATTTTACCCTACCTGTTCCAGATTGATGTCAGCGATTAACAACATAAATACCTTGTTATACAAGAAGACAAGAACCCCGGCAGATTTCTCAAAAGGAAAGTTTCGTAAATCAAGGGCAGGTGTACGATTACACTCAATGCTCCCCCGCCCCCAACACACACATCCTGACAGATAGACAACCGGTCTGAGGGACATCACCTGGAGTTTTACAAGGGAAAGGCTAACTGGGAAAACAACTGGTGTGTTTTAACTATGACACTGGATCTAGCTAGAAGAGTCACATATAGAACAGGGACCTGGCATATTGTACTGTTGCAGACCAAATTCCCTACCACAAACCCCACGGACGTAGATAAAAATCGTCTTCATGAACTGTGAGCTGTGTATCGAGTCTTAAAATATTTATTCAGTTTAAGTTCATCAGAGTGACGACACAGCAGACCTTGAATCACACACTCACACAAAGGTCACGTGTGTGCACTCACACGTATGTGCATACACACGGAAGCATGCTTAAACACGCCCATAATGCATGCATTTGAGAGATGGACATTTTCATAAGATCTAGTCCATTTCAATACCTACTCAACTTCTTAACTGAGACGGAAAGGGCAGTGTGAGCCCCGGGAGCCAGCAGGGTTACTACTCTGCAGGGGACACTCTGCCACTGGATGCTTCCCCAGGCCCCTGGTGTAGCCCTATGAAAGCCGTTAGCACTGCAGCATGTGTGTTCACCATTCAGGCCATAGGATATACCATGCAGCCATTGGCAGAAACTCGGCCTTATAAGCAGTGCTATGCTCGAATATGGCTATTATACATGTGAAAGATGTACGGAGATATTTAAAGAGAATCACAAATACCCCTAAGTGCCTACCTTGCCTGAACTTATACTTTGGTAGACTTTCAAATCCCAAAATAATACCATACCACTTCAGGTCAGTAAATACAGGAATTCAGAGCTCTTTCAGCTCGGCGGATGTCAATGGGATATAATTTCATGTTCCGAGTCCATGCTCTTAAGCAAACTCAAAATAAAGAAAATATTTTCCCCCTCTGATTG